AAAGAGAGAGACAGTGGGAGGGAAGAGGGAAGAAAAAGGAGATAGATAGAGAAAGAAAGAAAGATCGGCGAGCGGCAAAGGATCGGCGCTCTTTGGCAGCGACGCGACGCTGCGATATTGGCGACGCGAACGATTCTGCGCGGCATCGCACAATTAATGTAATCGGCAGGTGATTTCACGTCGCTGATTAAGCGCCATGTCCCGCGATGGACCAATCAGCTGCTTGGTAAATCGCCGTGAGACCTCGAGAATCTGTCCCCCACAGACGAATGACAACAAAAGAGACTGATAGAAGTCGCGCGCGCGAGAGAGAGCCCGAGTTTTTTCGCACGCGAGTGTGTGTATCCCGCGCAGCCGAGGCCGAGGGGTATATCCGCCGCCGCGGCTGCTTTTTTTCCGTTCCCCGTAGCGCGCCGCGAGTAACGTCGCTTCGCTGGTGGTGAAAGTGTCGAGGAATATGAAGAGGAGAAATGTCGAGTGCGGTAAGCTTCGGAGGCCCTTGAAACGCAACAAGCTCACCGAGGGAATCTACGGAAGGTAAATCCTCTCTATCTCTCTTTCTCGCTCTCGCCGCCATATGCGTGTTAACATCTACGTCGAGAGGAATGGCTGTTTCTTCTCGATGTAGAGAAAAATAACCAAAAATCTGCGACGCGATGATCGCGGGACCGGACACTCGGCCCGCGATCCGCCACGCCGAGAGTCAATCGCGCCAACGGCGTAATCAGCCTCGTCTCGCATGACATTTACCTCCGAGTCACAAACATCCTTTGTATAATACGCTCCTGTTTTTCTATCAATTCCCTTTCCTCTCTCTCTCTCTCTCTCTCTCTCCATCTATTTTTCTCATGGTGTCGTTTCTTTACTTCATCTTCGTTCCAACCGCGTGACAACCTAGCTCTACTAACACCAATCTCCGCCCTCGACATTCTCTTCAACGTTCCTCTTCAGGACGAAACGAGGTCCTCTTTTCCATCGCTAGGCTCTGTCCTCCTCTCTCTCTCTCTCTCTCTCTCTCTCTCTCTCTCTCTCTCTCTCTCTCTCTCTCTCTCTCTCCGACTCTTAATCCTAAATACGTTTCTCTATCTTACATATGCGTGTGTACGCAGCGTTCATGTGCTGCGTGTATGACTTACAGACAAGCAGCTAATGTCACAATAACAAAATGAAGCAGACGCGATAGTCGATTGACTTTCCAGCGCATTCTCTTTTTTTTTTCTCATGTCTTTCAAAAAGAGCACAAGCTCTTATAGTATTATGTAAGTCTCCTGTGTTTTCGATAACATCATCTATACGTCTTGTCATCCACAATCTGATGTACTTATATATACAGTAAACAAAAGGAAAACCGAGAAATAACTATTTGGTTGATGGCATATTAAATACCATCATATATATAAGAAAAAAAGTAAACAAAAGCAAGGAAAGACATTTACATGTAGATTCTATAATAGAGATGTATAAAATTGTAATTATAAACTTTAATCCAACAAGTAGCAAATCACATTTGCAAACTATTTGTATAAAATATATGATTATATCTGTTTCAGTACCTTGCTTTATCTAAAGTTTCTTCTACTATGGGCCATGGTGATTTTGGCAGACTTTATTTTGGAATTCCGTTTTGAATTCTTGTGGCCATTCTGGCTACTCCTCCGAAGCGTTTACGATTCCTTTAAATATCAAGGCTTGGTAGGTACCAGTGTTATACAATAATAAACAATCGCGCAACATTATGTAGTTATGTAAATTATGTTTCTTTCTTTGTGTGTGTTTCAGGCCTTCTCTGTATTTTTTATTTGTATTGCACTTACGTCAGACATGATTTGCTTCTTTTTCATCCCTGTGCATTGGCTGTTTTTTGCCGCTAGCACTTATGTTTGGGTGCAATATGTTTGGCACACAGGTATGTAAGAAACAAGATAAAATGAGTATGATATATATTTCTAGCTATATTGATACAATCTGTAGTATACTTGAAAAATAGAAAATAGAGTAGATATTCTATAACTTATAATGGATATATAAGAGAATATAAATATATAATATAATATATAATTAAATCTTGATATTGTACAGATAAAGGTGTGTGCCTACCAACTGTGATGCTGTGGCTACTATTTCTATATATAGAGGCAGCAGTGCGGTTACGTGACTTACGTCATATGCCATTTCATCTAGACCTCTGTCGGCCGTTTGCAGCACATTGGTATTATTTCTTTTGTTTTTGCATTAATCTATGATTAAATCTAATACTTTATTAATGCAGGTTACTTTATATATGTCTATTAAAATAGTCTACTGACAATCCACATTTATATCAAATACATTTTTCTATAATGTGTATTTTCAGCATTGGCTATCCTGTAGTTACATTGGGCTTTGGTTTTAAGAGCTATGTAGGCTACAGAATGAGGCAGGTTAGTCTTTAATAATTTTACATGATTTATTACATTTTTAAAAATATAGGAGTAACTTTGCAATGTGCACTAATGCATGATTTATTATATATAGAATATCTTGATTTATTTTTTTGTGATCCACAGAGAAAACAGAAAGATGTGGCAAAGGAGAATGAGTTCTACCTACAATTACTGCAGCAAGCACTGCCTCTAGAGCAACAAGCTATGTCGATGCAGCAGATCCAACCACAAGTGCAGTCACAAACGCAACATGTCACTACGTCATTGGAACAACACATTAAAACTCAAACACACAAATTGAGTCCACAATATAATCCAAGCCCTGAAAAAAGCAGAGGTAGCTTGTATTTATTATCAATAAATATTTTCATGTCTATATATATTTTTTTTTCTCTTTGAATAAATAGGCATGTTTTATCACAATCAGCACATTTTAAATATGGTTGTATTTATTCTTTCAGAGGGCAGTAACAGTTCTATAGAAACAAACGTACAAAATGGTGGAGTACACAATAGTAGCCAAATCACATCACAAGCACAGAGCGCTACTACCAAAGGTACTCATAGAAAATCCTTAGATAAGAGTGAAAAGCAGGAAGAGCAGCATAATAAACATAATGTATCAAATAATTCACCATCAGACAAAAATGATAAAAGATTTATACATAGTAACGGAAATACAGTATCACACAGTGACATACAGCTTATCGAGAGGGTGGGGTATGTTGAATTTTATATTAAAGAGTGTATTTCTCTTTTTAACTTCACACTTTAATTCTACACTTCAGATTCTTATTGACAATTTTTTAAAACAGATCTGTAAATGATTTTGACGTAAATGAAGTAGAAAAAGACAAGTCTATCAAGGGTTGCGGAAACACTACAATAAAATCGCAATCAAACGGTTCGGTAACGGGAAAATGGAATAATGTGAAGGAAAGCCGAGATTCATCGTCGACCACCAATGTCCAACGCGAACGTAAGACTCGACAGGTTAAAAATACAGGTGACATCACGGCAGAACAACAGAAACAACAAGACGATTATTATCAAAGGTACATCATAAAAGAGAAATCTCTTTCTTATAGATACAGTTATCATAAGATGCTACAGAAATATTCTGCTAATATAATTCTACATGTTTTCACAATGGCACAGATCGAAACTAATGACATATCTGGTATTTCTTGCTCTGTATTTAGATATCGAATCTTGAATCACTTTGTATACTCTTAGCGTAGACTTCCCGTCAATTTCTTTAGCATAATTTGTCATTGAAATAGGTTACTGGTGTGTCGCAGGCTCGAGACGGATATAAAACGCTTGAAATCAGACTTGCAGTCAAGTCGGCAGTTGGAACAAGAATTACGATCGCAAGTCAATACCTTGCTTAACGGAGAGCGGCAGGCTAAGGGCGACATTCAACAACTCCAACATGATAACGATCAACTACAAAGCAAGTAAGTGTATTTAACGAGCGAGAGTTAGTTTTGTAACTTGTGGTTATATGTAACATTTGTAAAGAATCTATCCAGTTAGTATCTATAATTTTATATTTTGCGTTTTGAATTTTGAGATAGTATATGTGAACTATGCAATACTCACAAATTTATTAGTGATTCTTTCGTCTTTTTCATTTTCAGTTATTTTATTAAACATTGATGCAGTGTCATTTAAAAAAATATATATTTGATTTAGATACACAGTATATACACAAGGAAAATGTTTCGTGTATATATACAAATTTATAGAAGTTACTAAAATCTATAAATTTCTTCTTTAAACAATTTAATCAAATTTTTTAATTTTTTAAATTACAATTTATAACATTTATTATATAATTAGTCATGTTTATTTTATGTTATCTTAATTTTGGACCAAAATTTAATAATTACCTTTCTATATCCATGTTGGTATCCAGACAAAGATTACCATTTGGTAAATATGCAGAAAATTAATTTCTTTAGTCAACCCGCGTTTTTAATTAAAAGTATGAAGACTACATAAAAGGTATATAAAACTGTAGTTTGTATATTTTACAATGGTTCAATAATTAAATTTGGTCTGCAACACACATATACAATAAATCTTTAAATATGTCATATTAGAGAGTTATTATGTTATGTCACAACATTTTTATACTTATAAATCTGTTTGTAAAACAAACAATATACACGATACTTATTTTATATAGTCAAATATATGTAAAACTAAATATTGTGATTTGAATTAAAATACAATATATGTATTCCTGTTTTGACTTGTGAGTAAAATTGGACAGTCTAAAACATAAATTTTTACATTATAGATTGCATGGTTTAGTGACGGCGCGTCAATTGGATAAACAGACGATGTCATCATTGGAAAAGCGAATTGCAGAGGAGAGGAAACAACGCACTGCGTGTGAAGCGTCCTTGATCTCCGAACGGAGGGCACGGCGAGCTGCCGAGGAGGCACGCTCCGCAATTCCACCGCCACCACCTCCGCTTATTAGGCAAGAATGCACTGACGCGTGTAAAAATCGAAGATCACAAATAGAACAGGATCTTAAAAATCTGCGTCGTGAACTCAAATCGAAAGAGGAAAGGTAAGAACAAAAATATTGCATAGACTTCAATTATATGTGTATGTGTGTGTGTGCGTAAGAGTTACATTAATGTCAAATAATCTCAAAATTAACAACGCTCATTGATACATCAGGTGTAACGTATTGGAAAAAGACACAGCGCGTTGCAAAGAGAACCACAGAGAGTCCGAAATTTTACTCACTGCACTCAATGCGCTACAGGACAAAACCGCGCATTTGGAAAACAGCTTGAGCGCGGAGACACGTATAAAACTTGATCTTTTCTCGGCACTCGGTGAAGCCAAGCGGCAATTAGAAATTCGAGAAAGTAAGTAATAATAATGTTATTCATTATATTTCGTGTATGTGTATATACCTTTTTAACATTTTCATGATTGAAAAATGTGTTATAACATATTGAAGAAAAGTGTGGTGCATTATTGTATTGCAAATTCTGTGTTATTACTGGCATCTTATATGTATCTCATACTATTCTTCATTGAATCAGGCTTAATCAGATCTCACGAGAAAGAAATCGAGATGTTGAAAACAAAAATAGCGCAAGATTTAGCTGTGATGCCACAAGACACGTTTGGTCCAGCGCCAACCTGTGCGACGTCCAAGCTACGTTTAAATAGTGAAGTGAGAGTAGCAGGAACAAAAATACGTTCAAACGAAAGTCCTTGTCCGGGGTGTACCGTGTCGAATTTGGATCCGAATGCGACAGCGTACACGCCTAAAAGCTCCCTCGTAGCGTCGACCGAAGCTTAAAAACTGCGATTGTTCTCTCTCATCAAAACCCGATAGTAGGATGTATGAATTACAAAAGGATGTTTCAAGTTTCTCCGTGGAAATATTAACCAGTTTAGTTCCTGCAAGTATATGGCAAAAATACGAATTTACCAATATCACATCTTTCCTATATACTCATCTTCTTAAGGAGATAATATTTTTATCATATACAGATTCTTTCAATGTGTAAAAGAAACCTGAAAGTCTTCCATGAGAAACTTTATGAAACACATTTTGTATCGTGTCTTGTCCTTTCAGAGATAAAAATGAAACCGTTGACATTACTTATGATCATACGACGCGACACATTGGTTTCTAGAATGTCAGGGAAATCCAGTGACAGTCTTAATTTGTAACATTTATTATTTTTTTATGTGCTGCGAGTTGATTTTACAGATATATAATAATAATTTGTACCAGTGAACGATAAAAGTGTTTCGGCCCATATATAAATATCAATAACACACAATGCCTAATACTTTTAAAAATTAATATATTAACTAGGGCTATAAATATACGGATAATTTAATATTCGAAATATCTGATATTATTATTCGATTATACTCCGGATATTTGTATTATCGGATAATCTAAATATCTGTGAATTATTAAAATCTTAAGATCTGAAGATTTAAATCTACGAATTTGCAAATTTGGATTTGAACTATTTGAATTATAAAACGATAGATGGAATGTTAATTTTTTTTGTCATAATAACAATAATATAATATAATAATAAAATTTATGGAAATTATATTCAACTTTTATATATTTATTATATAAATAAAACTGCAAAATAATGCAAAAAAAGATAACAAAATATTGTTTCTATTTTAATTACATTTATATAATGTCAATCAAGTTTGATTTTGTTAGTCTTCTGTCTACTTTTATCTGATAGATAGCTCAAATTAATAAATATGCAGATTCAGATATAGATTTGATCTTTTGAAATATTAAAATCTGATTTATCCAGATAGTTCGAATATCGAAATTTGAGTAATCAGATAATTCTGTGAACCAATTATCTGGATGTCCAAATAGCAGCATATCCGAATTGTATTTAGTCCTAATACTGACCGTTAGTTTATATGTAAGTAAAACATGTTTTATATCCTACACACAAAGGATATTTTACACAGAAAGTCTATTTTGCTAAATGCATTTGTCATGTACGATTAAAATGATGATACATGTTTCTTATGATACACAAGATACATTTCATAATTATCTGTTTATGTATTCTGATGTCTACGTGTTAAAATACTAATTGATCTTTAACATTGGAAAATGATACACATACACGCACACAAATATCTTACTAATGAAATCACGATAAAAAAAATATTAATATCTGTGTTATGATCTTCTCGCAGCATATGTCTAAACATATGATGACTTGTCAAAGATGTATTCTTCTTCAAGTCGTATAATTGAAGCTAGTCCATCATATTATATATACAAACTCTATTTAAATATCATTGGCGTGTGGAGCCATTTTACGTTATGCGATTATCATGCGGAAATAAGCCATTGACAACAATAGAGGGAAATATGAGCGTTATAACATTCAAGAAGGATCAAAGTAAATGTCACGACGCTAAAATTGTTTTAGATAATCATATGCCTGTACGATGATACTCTCACACACACCCATACACATGCGCGTATTTTTCTGTGCTTTTAAATTCTAATATATTTTTAGTTAAATAATTCTCTTTTATGTATTGGCTTTCAAACGGTATGAAGTAGCCATTACATTTTTCGCGAGAGTAAAAATGTATAGATTACAATATGTGATAAAAACTTGATCTAATTGAAAAATTTTGGCATACAATGATCATACTAGTATATGAGATTATGTAATGCCATACTATGTTAAAAAAAAAGCGGAAAAGAATTTAAATATGAGATAATAATTTTATTATAATTACAAAAGTAGAGAGCAAAGTTATCTTCGTTTGATTGCTTTATTTAAAGAAGAATATTTAATTCTCTATTTAGCGACACCGAATTGTTGAAATTTATTGTGACTAGATGTAAAGTTTTTTTTTTTCTTCTCTTCTTTTACGACGTCCATTAATATAATTTAATATGATTTAAGAATAGAAAAGTTTTGTTTTTTCTTTTTTTTCTTTTAATTGTTCTTTACACATATATGTATATGTATAAAAAATATGTTAAATGGCTTTGACAAATTATGGCACCATTGAAGGCATGTGGTACATAATATTTAAATGATCTGTCTACTTAAAAAAATATAACAATTTACATATGGCGTATATTAAAGTGCACATTTTTTTAAATATTCGCGCAAATTGTGTGCGTCTATTCATCTATTGGTTTATTAATTACGCTGTAAGGAGGTGCTGTATGTTATAATTTTGATTTGTATACAGATTTTTTTTTTTATATACTTTCATCTTAAAAATTGATAAAAAGTTGTTATATAATTTTAATTTAATTGGCTTATAAAGTGTTTGGAAGAATTGTTGAGGAGAATGCGATGCGTGTGGCATTACGAAAAATTAATATCAATAACGATCAAAGATAAAATCGATTGAATAATTAATCGATGTTAACAAAATCTGCTGTTTTTTATTTTACCCGCAAGAAAGCCAGTACCTGCTTCATTACATTGGAAATGTTGTGTAACACTTGTTAACTATTACGAGATCATTCTCTCTCTTCCATAATTGTATATATAAAGCATTGTCATGACAATTTACTTATGGACATTAGTAGTGGATCGTGACCAACTAGTCAAGCGAAGAAGGAAGTTCTACAAGCACAAATATTTATTAGAAGATATCCAATATTCAAAGCTTTTGTCTTCTATGGAAAGAGAGGATACAGAATCCTTTCATTTCATTCAAATTTAGTATTTGGACTCTCATTGGATAATGAATTTTATGAGTCCACGTTTCCCAGATGATCCACATAAAAAACGTTGTAAAGGCTTTCCTGCACAATGTGTATTATTAAATTTTGAATTTTAATCTTTAAAAGACCAGTGCTAAATTTATTCTAAGAAAGTTATGTGAAGAAGTTTTCTAAGTTGCATACGTTAATAATAATAACAATAATAATATATATATATATATATATATACAACATCTCTCTCACGTGATGCCCTCGCGTCGCGATCGAATTCTCAACGATGACGATCGTATTATAAATACTGCATAATTAACATAAATAACATTTCTTTTTACCTCGTCATTCCACCTGAATTAGTTTTAATCTTTTTTCTGTTATATTGTTAGTATAATTAGTATTGTTAGTATAATTTATATTTACAATATATAATACTTATGTTATATAACTGTCATTGATACACGTAATATTGCGACTGTATGATCGATGCAATTGTATAATATTCTTTGAGTGACCGCATGCGTATAAATTTTATTTGATATAATTTTTTTTCAGACATATCGTGAAATATATATATATATATATTGTATATATATATATTATGTATTCATATACTCTCTTCGATACACGAGATATTTAAAAAAAACTCCAATGGTTGCTAGTTTGTGAAAAACAAAGGAAACCGTGTGTATGCATTTCTATTTCCAAATTGTTGTCCCAGTGTTAAGGATATTACACTTACCTTTGATCTTGCGAATAAATCGATGATAAGTTTCGATTTAGATTTGTGTTTTCATACATTTGTTTGTACACAAATAATGTAGCGAAGACGATACAGTGAAATGTGTAAATATTTGTCGGAAAAAGAAACTTTGATACCGCCTTTGGTAACGCATGGGTGTGATTGTTAAGATTGTTAGGGCACTTGCGTGGCATAATCTTTTTTGCTATACAAGGTCACTTTAAGTTATAACTACGATATTTGCCAATTTCAATTTGACACAAGGTTCAGATATGAAATTAGATACTACAGATAAGCTTGTCAGCAAAAAAAGATCAAGGAAATAATGATCAAGGAAACTATTAATTGTCAAAAAAAGTATCAATTGTGAATTTATGTACCTGATCAGGATGTGTAGTAATTCTTTTTTCTTTTTTTGGCTGTTTTACTTATCTTGGATTCAATCCCACTAGAAGGCTGGCTTAATAAGCAATTAATATTATTAATTAACGAGATAATAATAAATCGTGCACATTGAGTTATTGTGATATGCATACATATACACAGCCACAAAGAAAAAAAAATGCGCGTGCATATAAAACACACGTACACACATGCATATATATCACGTGTAAATATACATTCGCTTTTTACATATTTATTTGTGTATATTCGTACATTGCGTGCACGCCGGATCACACGTGCAGTTATCTACGTGTATATACATGCATATATGTATAATTATTTTAGTTATTATACAATGATGTTCTCTTACCATAATAAATTAATAATGAGATAATTAATCGATCGCCGTAGGTAAGTTTCCTATTTCCAAACGCATTATTTTACTTCGCACGATAAGAGGAAGATGTGCATAATGTACAAGTACTTAATTTTTTTATCTTAGATTTCATTCAGCGTTTTTTTCGAATGTGTGGGAGAGAGAGAAAGAGAGAAAAAAATAAGGTGTGCACAAGTTCAGGTACTCTTGTAATACCTGCTTCCTGAATAATTTGTAAGTTCCCTGATATCTTATATAACTTATAATTTTTTAAGTCGGCGAGGACAATAAAAAGTTTTTCCGTTTTATACCAAATTTCGGCGTCGAGTCTAATCGCAATTCTAATTAAAAAAATATCGCGGATGTTTTTTTACACATTAGTTATTGTAAAGTTTTATGCGCTTCCGAAAACATTTAACTGCGTACTTATTTTGTTATTATTTATAGCATTAAGTAATCGCCGAGCGAGACGAATGTAGCATAATTAAGTTGCAACAACAACACGGCTATTGATCTCATTATATACCGTACACACGCAAATGCCCTTATTGAAATATTAAAAAAAAAAACCGACATGTGGAATGACTCGTTGAGAAAATTTTTAATGTATTGTAATGCGCTTTTTGCGGATAAATCAGATCAAACGAATGTGTCACATACATCGACATACAATCTTGATTGACGTCTAAACGAAGAACCACACGTGCCGCGTTTCAACGCGCGCTCCATATATCATATACCACATACCTGAGCGTCTGTTTAATGAAAATAAGAAAATGATAAAAAAATCTGGATAAAAAAATTCTTTTACCATCGATTGTGTAAGAGTCTCGTAAAACATGTAACACAACATATACGCTCCACTATCATACATGCGTTTCTATCGTTAATTCGTATAACTTAAGCTTGTGTGAGAATCCTGTTCGAACTGTGGCACTTTTCATTCCGGTGCTATACAACAATCTCATCTATTTATAATGATTCTTCTTTCGCATATTTCCTGTCTATCAGTCGGTCATATAGAATATATTTGACTTTTGTTTTCATATTGAAATATACATGATTTATAAATTCTCTTCTTTCATCCTTTTAAGAGTATGAAATTTCCTATCGGATAAAAATTGAAATTTCCCTCCTTGCAATATTTTAAAAACGTGAATTTTGTAAAAGAAATGGTTCTTTCACACAATTTTGTAGATTATGGAAAAAAAACAATGTGAATTTTTTTATAGAATAATATTGCTATTATTCAATAGGCCCAAATGCAAGAAAGACTTAGATGCAAGTGACAAATTTTGAAAAAAGCCATGATTGATATAATGGTGTTTGATATTTTTATCAAATAGAAACTCTGAAACACTTATCTTGGAATAAAAATAGTATAAATATATAAATCGCGAAATCATTTGCTGGGAAGAAAAACATATTATATATTTGTACGACTTTTATTTCAAGATTTTCCACAAGATAAGCATTTCAGAGTTTCTATAATATATGTATTAAAAAATTATCTAATTATACGAAAGAACCGCAACTTTTTCAAAACATTATAAGAAATTAAAAAGGTTATCGATATTAATAGTGGATGACTTTTCATTGTATATTATGTATCACATCTCTATAGTGATATTTATTAAAATGAATATTATAAAAACCGATATATGTTGAACATAATTTATATATGAATAATTATTATGTTACAAACAAGCATTAAGATTTATCAAATTCCAATATTAATGCATTGTAATTTAATGGTATTACATTTTAGTTATCACATACTTCTTTTTACATACCTTTTGCTTCTTTTCTATGAAGATGATTACAAACTAGGAGGGAAATTTCCATGATTTATAAAAGGCGTTTATCTCGATGATGACACTGGTGACATAATCAGACATATTTTGGATAAATATTATTTCGTTTAGTGAAAACAAATAAATTTTTATAGAGAATTAGCTTGTGCAGAAATACAAGTTAAGAGTTAAGAATTCATAAAAGTCAATTTTCTGAATAATATTAATTCGATTGCCAGTTTCTTTTATAAACAAGACAAGATTCATTCAATGTAATAGGAATTATGAGCAATACAAAAATGTGCAAATATGTTAGCTGACAATATAATGTAGAGAACACACCAATATGAGAAACTTGATTTATTTAGTTTAATTAAAGTGTTATAATTAAAATTTTATCTATACATACTCTTATTAATCTTGAAAATGTTTATTTTATTTTGATCTAAGATATAAAAATAAATGGCAATTATGGTGAACCTAAAGAAGTCTATATTATATACAATACAATGATATAACGGAATTTTTAATAAAACTAATATATGTATACGTATTATATATGTACATGTACATACGTATACTATATATGAATATGTATACATATGCATGTATATATGTCATATACAATATATGGAAGCTTCTTTTTCTTTCCTCTCTCTCTCTCTCTCTCTTTTATTTCAAAAATACTTTACTACTCTCTACTAAATGTGTCAATGCATCATACACAGATATAAACTAATAAAAAGATTTAAAAGCTTCAAAAAAATGAGAAATTATAATTAATAAAGGATTTATTCTTTTTGCCCTTTTATCAAATTATTATATAATACTGTATACTACTTTATATATTTTATATACATTTCTCTTGTATGAATGAAACATTTATAATTTCATGAATGTATACACTAAACTTTTAATTTCTTCTGATTTTATTCTTAAGATTTTATATTTTACTTCAAATTCATAATATGAAAATAAGCACGATATCTTATTTATTTGTAGAAAATATATACATTAAAATTTTCAGAAAAATATAATTTTTATAAGTATTATGTGTATAATATAAAAAATATTTGTAAATTTTTAACCATTGATAACCATGATTTTGTTTTTTAAATGTTTTCTATTAATTTGAAGATCTAATGTAACATTTTTGTTTGTTTTTAATTAATAACATTGCATGTTTTGCATCGCCTTTCTTATTTTAAAATGGTAAATAAAATACATATTATATAATTTCTTATCAAATAATAGTCAAATAAAAAACTTAACTTACATTTTTTTCGATATATACGTATATATATATAAAGCAATCTCATTTACATTATTTACAGTCTAATGTCTCACATGTGGATTTTTCTAGAATTCCATGAGATTTAAATTTTTCATAGAGCGGGCTATCTTTAAATACTATATACGAAAGAACTGCTTTTGTATAATAGTCCGACATCAGTTCTAAATTGTTTATAACTGTTGACAAAAGATGCGCTTTTGCTACATATATTCCTAAATAAAGAAAAATAAGATTCTATAGTTATAAATACTTGCCACTTATTCTTAAATTATTTGACAAATACTTTCTTTTTATAATAAATTATCAGTTACTTTTATAGTTTTATTATATTGACTTACCTGGTGCTTCAAACATAAGGTTGCAGAAATGTACGTGTAGGTAATAATATGACGGTTGGTAATGGAAATATATTCTAAGCTGTGATGCAGGTATATTGAATTTTTTACTAATTGCCGATGTCCCAGCATCTCGTATATTTCTTAACAAAGGAAGATGAGAAGCGTTCAATTCTCTCAATGATCTTATTTTTTGAAATGGCAGAGCCAATAATTTTAGCGTATCTAGCTGTTTATCCCATTTGAAATCTGTCACCAATACAAAACCAGTGTTTTTGTCAGAGTCCTCGTAGATAATACTTTCTTGTTCGGCTTTGTGCTCCAGAATATTTGTTATCCACTGAAAGAAAAGCAATATGAAAAAAAAAATTGTGTAATGCTGATTTTCAAGTGTGAAATCATGCCAAGTAAGATTCAGTATTATATTTTAGATAAATTCTATATATACCTCTAAACTTAGACTTTTTGATTCTATATAAGGAAGAGTGACTTGTTGATAAAGTTCATACGTTTCATCTATTATGTATAATTCTTGTCTCTTATATTTCTCGATATGATTCTGTGTAGCAGGATATATCACGGTCGTGTGTATACCTTGAGAAACAGAGAAAATGCATTTGTTTGTAAACGAATATATAACCAATACAGTAATACATGAAAAATCTGTTGTAAAAAAAATGTACTGTTATACTCCTCGGTGGGAAAGCAATCGTAATTCCTGTAAATATCGTTGGTGAAAAGAGCGTTTTCCCGTCGAAGAAACCTTTCTCCAAAATCAACTTGTCATGAGGGAAAGTCTTCTGTTCGAGTAAGACGATCGCCGAGCCTTCGCGATCCTCGAACGTTCCTTCTATGCATATCGACTTCCGTACGCAATTGTTTTGCAGCACCTTCGTCACTTTGAAATTCGACAGGTTCAATTCTATTTCGCGTGCCGCATCATTCTCGCTCGTGTCTCTCCCGTCCGTATTCTCGATCGCGTCTTCATCGTTCAATTTTACCTTCTTCGCCGGTGGATTATCTCTGTCATTGACGTTTGTACATTTTTCTGCCATATCGCGTCACGTTATATAAACAACTAAGCTCAAAAATAATAAAAGGAACACTTGGCGCGCGTTAGAGACAGAGATGCAAAAGATTGCCCGGTAATAAAAAAAAAGAGTCACGTTGGAAAGCGTATCCTTTCTTCCTTATAGATTTCTGTCCCTTTTGAGATACTTGGCGATGCGCTCCGTTTGATGCTACAAAAATTTCGAAGCGTTTGATCGACCACGAAATTTCCGCTCCTTTCGTCCTGATTGGTCAAATGATTCGCGGCCATTTGTAGCATCAATCGCGCCCTCTAGCGGCAACAAAACGCAACGATAGGATAGCAAATGTCACCGGTACAGTTGACGTTTATAATATCAACGTATCAAGGAATACACGTATGTATACATGCCGGCGACACACACATTTTTGCGGCTGAAAATATTCAAAGCAAATACACGAATTCTGTCGTAATAATCTTGAATATTTTGCACAGTGCTTAGGTAACTGCGTAGTAAGAACTCCGAAAACTATCGAAAGTGGTAGGTTTCGACCAGGTGCCGTGACCTGTTGTGACCTTCGCTGCAGCGTGAAGGGCATACTTGTACTTTTATTGTTAGTACAACTGCGACGAGTGTTCAAAAAAGAAAATGTTGCAAGTCGATGACAGAAAGGTAAAGTGAAAATTTCAAGAATAAATCTTTTCACGCTTTATTACGTTAATAAATCTTTTCAGGCGCTTTACTATTATATGTTATTAAGAAATATTTTTTTAAGCTTTACTATGTAAATATATCTCTTTTCAGGCTTTACTATGTAAATAAATCTTCTCAGATTTTATTATGTTAATAAATCTTTTCAGATTGTACTATATATTATTAGTTTATTTTTTTTTTTTATATTCTTCTTTCGCATATTCTGTCATTTTCACTTCCACTCTTTCGAACATTTGATTTTTTTTCTTTTATTTCACTTGATAAAAGTTGATACGGCTAATAGAAGGCAAATGATGGCATATTCTATTGAAGACTTATTTATTTATTTGTATTTTTTTTCTTTTGAGCGATTGGTGAAATAATTTTCTTTACTGTTCGGTTATCAATATATATGTACGAATTTGTTGAGGTTAGGTGCATTTTAACTTTACGTTTATAACAGAATGACTGATATGCAGCTAAAGATATTTTTCTATAGACAACATTGTATTTAATCTCCAAAAACTTACTTTTCCAAAAAAGGTTTTTACTTGGTTCCAAAAAACGCATTTACTTGGGACGAGATATATATACCGTGTTTCTTGATATATATCTAATACATATATAAAATTTTAATAAATTATACATATTCCAGAGAAGCGCGTCAAATATGCTATTGTATACTTTTGTCCGAGATTCGATAAAAATGTTTATATTAGAGTTTATTTCAAATGCAATGGCAATTAAAAATGAAATTCAATTCTGATGTACATATATGTATAGCGTGGTTGAAAGTATCTTCTCATATTTATGCTGACATCTGACATATGTTGACTGATGCCCGATAACCCGATGCTCTTTTTTAGTATAAAAAAAAAGGTCATATGACCAAAAATGATCCAGGAAGCACATGTTGGTTTCCTAAACGTTTTCTAAATGTATATATCTAATGGTATAATACGTGGGACGAATTGATATATTTACTCTTAATCACATCAAATATATCTTTTGACGCTTAATAATAAAATGAACATTGTATATCAAATATGAAAGAATATTTGCACTTGTACACTCAACTTAATGAATAATTTATCATTTTTCTGAGCGTGTATTTACATTAAGCAAGCTGAATGACGTTAGGGAGGACAAAACACAGAAAAACTTACATAATTCATTTTTTTTTGTGAATTTAGTCAAAGTTAATGTATGTTAGCCTTATCGGGCGATATAAAACGCGTTGTATCAGCGATACTGATGTATTACTGGTTTAAGAAGAATTGTCGCTTCTAATAACTCTACGAACGTACAACGTAGATATATCTCTTTGTAATTCCCGCGAAATTTACTTGTGCGCTAAAGACATATTTGGAGTAATGCGCTTCGATTGAAGCGCGATCTTTCGAATTATCTCGCTTCAACGAAATCTCGCGCGGTACGATGTCGTCGCATTCGCCAAGCGTCGTCCCTCGGTTTCGGATAAGTAACGAGAAGATCGGATTCATGGAGTACCTGCTACAAGTAAGTTAGTTTGGGTATAATAGGAATATAAACTTCTTTTTTGAGTAGCACATGCGACATCGATTGCCCGAGAGATCTCTGTCGAAATATCCTTCAAAATCTATCGTAAACAAACGTGCGATTTCGCGCAAAAAATCGAATCGACATTGTATTCAATTCGCTTAATCTTCGAGAAATGATCGGTATCGATCGCGATCGCGTATATAATATTTTTTCATTGAGAAAAACTCGATTATTGTTGCCACGATACGAGATATAAATCTTCGTGCTGACACGTGTTTGCGATAACCACAAGTGTTTGTTATCAGTTTACCAAGAAAGAGAAGAGAAACGTTCAAGGAGAATTATGTCATTAGAGTTTCGCAGATGTCATTATCTGTATATAAAGCGACCCGTATAAAATGTAAACAGACGAAAGTCTTCTGGTCTTTATCATTCTTTTTTTTTTTGCGTAGAAATGACAATTAAGATAAGATTTTAATTCTAGCGAAATCGCACATGAACAGAGCAGCGAATGTTTGTATTTTGTAACATACTATAATTTTCGCGTTTATGTAGATATTTACTTTTATATGTATACACAAACATTTTCTGTACATAATGTTCATTTTTTTTTTCTTTTTTTTTTTTCTGTAATTTATGTATATGAGATAAGAATTATTTTTAAAATGCGCTTCTAATAGACGAATCCTTATATTCAATCTTCTTTAATTGCGTCTTATGCGAAAAATCTTGTTGAAAGATATTTTTAGTTATCCAGAATGGTGATGCTGCTAGAACTAAAAAGCTCGAACGCTTCTTTAACAAGAATTAATGATTTATTCAAGCTTTTCTGTTCTTTCTATTGTTACATAAGGTAATGATAGGCTAATCTGATTCAAGTGCGTCATACTGGGATGTAAGCATATGCTTATTCTCGGTGATCGAACGATTTATGGCACTCTTATCATCTAGTGCCATTTCAATTATTTTCTTCATGAGCGACGACTGTTCTCTAATTTATAAATTGTGTCCTTCTAAAGAAAACGCGAGAACTGCAATAGCAAGATTAGAATCAATTGAAGCCAGTAGGCCTATTCTCTAATTCTAACTTCGTAATGACAATGTCGTTATCGTTACATGTGTCGGTGCTCAACTAAAACGTATTGGAAACGAGTTGCGCAACGACGCGTAACGATAGCGAGTTTGTCGTTAAAAGTTACAGAATAGAGGTACAGAGATTAATAAGAGGAGGAGGGGAAGGGGGGAATATTTTATATTTTACGTCAGAATAGATCAGATATGTGAGATATACATTAGAAAATATATGAAATGTGTGAATCAAGATATACATATACAGGGTAGCCCATTTTAAATAACGCATTGATATTTCTCGAAAAGCAAGGCTTTCATTGAAAAATGTTTCGTACAAAAGTTTTATGATTTTGAAGGGAACATAAGATGGTGTTTATTGGTTTCACCTTGGATGAAGATCATGAAGTTATTTCAAGATCATCTTCATTTTTTTAAATGGAGCCATTCTAATTTGTTTATATAGATCGATTCCTCGCAATACCCGATTTACAATGTTATAAATTTGGATGGCTAAAAATTTAATAATTTACGAGATATTTTAAACTTTAATTTGGCATAAACTATGAAATATCGTAAACTATTAAATTTTTGGCCCTTTTATCCTTATAACTTTTTACGTCGAATATTGCGAGGAATCGATTTATATAACAAATTAGGATGGTTACATTAAAAAAAAAATGAAGTTGAGCTTAAAATAACCTCATGACCTTCATCCAAGATCAAATCAATGATACCATCGTATGTCTCCCCTCTTCGAAATTATAAAACTTTTGTATGAAACATTTTTCGTGATGATGGTCTTGGTTTTCAAAAAATGTTAAAATGGGCCACCCTGTATATATATATACTGACGGAAAATGAAATCCCAACACCAAAAAGTTATATTGGATGAATAAAAATTACACAGAATGTTTGTTTACAGAAGTATTTACTTTTATTAAAAAATGTAATAAAAGTAAATACTTATGTAAACAAACATTCTATGTAATTTTCATTCATCTAGCATAATTCCTTTTTGATGTTGGTATTTCATTTTCCGTCAGTGTATATATATATATACATATATATATGGTGGTCCATAAAAAAACTGATGAGAAGTCTTTTTCAGTGTGGTTTTTATTATCTTTTTCACTTAACGCAATTATATTTGACTTGTACAATGAGAGATATTTTATATTTATAACAAATAATCGTGAAAACGACGATTATTATCTCAAATTTAGTTATGTCACCGAGGAAGATTCTAAGCGGATCGAAATGTCTGACATTCTTCTGATTATTATTTTACAAAAAAAACATTTGTTATCATTAATATTTACATACTTATATTTTAGTTTGCAATTAATCTTCCCGAAAAAAAAATTTCCTGAGAAAGAATATCATAAATAGTTGAACTCTGAGAACTATGATTCGAAACGAAAAATTAACATTTTTATGATATGAACTCATTCCTCTCGAAATTATCTTATCATGACCCATAAAGGTTAACAGAAGCCAACATTATCCAAGTATCAGTTATTGTTTCGTCATCGAGAGTCTCTATGCAAAAGGACGAGAAGATTGATTTGTTAATACACGCCCAATCGTTAAAAAATGTCTATTATCTGTAATAACGGATATTTGTTTTTTATTGCGAACAATTAGATTTTAATTTATAGAATGTTTTAATATAAATTATCGTGAAATAAAACGAAAGAATATTATCTCGGTATTAAAAGTTGAGGTTTTAAATAAAAGATTATATTATACATTTCATCATTATCGTCTCATCCATAATTAAAAATAAATTTATCATATCTAAGCATATTATCAGTGGACTTCTACTTGAGTCAAGGTGACGAAATGCCGCCACGCTGTTTGTTTTTTATCGAAAATAGAGCAAAATTTCTAAAGATTAAACATTAAACTCGGATTTTTGTTCAAGTGAAATAAACAGGATCGTGATTATGATTTAATCTATTATTCACTCAAAGATATCCACTTGTGCTTAGCCGTGATATACATAATAATCAAAGGATGCCGCGGAGATGTCCGATATTAAACATTAATCATCGTTGGATATTCCTTTAGCCGAGAAAAATGAATATGTCGAGAAATATTTATTTTGCTAACCCCAGAATGAAATAACGTTTTATCGCAACTAATTTATTCGTAACTGCATTGTAATGCTAATTGTCACTTTTTAGACTTGCATTATATTCGTCCTCGTAGTATATACATGCGACTCATGTCGGCATTAATTTTTTTGTCGAAACGTGCTCTTACCTAACAGTACATTTCTGTCATTCCTCTTTCGAGATTTCTCGAACGTGTACGACGCGATCGCTCTCGATAATTTTCGGACAAACGACGACTTGTTGCGCGTCAAAGACAAAGAAAGGAGGAAGGATAGATCTCTTTGAGCTCTCTCATTTATATATATTATAACGTCTAATTTATTACAACGCACGCAGCAGATTTTGCATTTCTATACGGGAATTTTACTCCAACGATCTCGGAGGAGATTTTAACGAATTTTTAAAGGACGACTACAGTCACCGATATAGACGCCAATCATCTTATATACGATTTATTTTTCTTTTTTTTTGTAACTATTTTTTTTACGGCTGCTGTGTTTTTTAAAAGTCAATATGCGTGCGCTTTTGCATTCGTTCGACGATCGATTTACTGGAACAGAGGGAGAGGATTTCATAAGGAGAATAGGTAAAAAAATCTTGGTCTACTTTCGTTCATTCCGTAGGTTCGCGGTCACCAACGCAACTCTTCAGATACGCAGGCGTTTCGCGAGCGTACGAAGAGAGATGCACGGATCGAGCTGCAACGCGAACTCGAGAAGCTGCAGACGACCGCCCGCGAGGACAAGAAGGAGATAATGGGCCGGCAATTCGCCGGATTCAAGCATCTATTCGAGCGATTCCTACAGGAGGAGGGCCCGTCCTTAGAATGGGATCACATTCAAAAACTGCCCGAAGATGCGGTAAGAATCACGTAAAAAAATCATTTTAGAAAAGTATCTAGCTTTTCTTTTCTTCTCAAAGAAATTTAAATAGTATTCTATTAGTCGGTTTTAATTAATAAATTCTATTGTTAATTTTAGTGAATTAAAAACGAAACTATTAAGGATTGTAAGACAAGAAAGGAAAAGCTTATTTATATCATATTATTGAAAGATACCATCTTAAATTATCTTCTAAGAAATTTTAAAAACGCATTATTTGTTTTTCTAAACCTATTTTAATTAATAATTTTTTATTGACAATTAATAAAATAAACTGAATCGAAATGGTGTGTTTTTACAGGTCAAAAATTATAACTCTTTACCAACACCGGAAAATAACGAGGTAAAGGCGTTACTGGATAAATTGGTTGTGGTTAAATTAAACGGCGGTCTCGGAACGAGCATGGGATGCCACGGACCGAAATCCGTCATCGCTGTGCGAAATGGACTGACCTTTTTGGATCTCACCGTTCAACAAATTGAGGTATTTTAATACTAAATTATCGCTGTCTATTTGTAATGTAGTAACGTATATATATGTGCGATCACGTTACGCGTTCATTATCTCTCTCTTTTTCTCTTTATCATAGTTATATAATTATAATAATTAATAATCTCCATTAACAGCACCTGAATAAAACGTACAACGCCAACGTGCCACTTATATTGATGAATTCGTTTAACACGGATGACGATACGCAACGCATAATTAGGAAATACAAGGGAATCGATATAGATATTTATACTTTTAATCAAAGTTGTTATCCGCGTATAAATAGGGATTCTCTACTTCCGATAGCTAAGCATAGTCAAGTCGAAGAGGATATAGAATCGTAAGATGATTTTTATGTAAAGACATTATTAATATCATTTAACTGTATCACGCGTTAAATAATGTATAATCTGTCAACAGTTGGTATCCGCCTGGTCACGGAGATTTTTATGAGAGTTTTCAGAATTCTGGTTTACTTAAAAAGTTTATCCGAGAAGTATGAGATTTTGTTTTTTTAGTGCTCATTAATAACAATGATAATCCACTGAAGAAAATCTTTTTCAGGGCCGTGAATATTGTTTTATCTCGAATATAGATAATCTCGGTGCCACGGTGGATATTAAAATCTTGAAATCGTTGTTAAGTGAAGTACCAGAATCCAGTCTTGAATTTGTTATGGAAGTAACCGATAAGACACGAGCGGATGTCAAAGTACGTTAAAATTATTCGGATTTTCATTAGAATTATTCGGAATTCTTTGGAAATAGTGATAATTGTAATTGTATATTTTATTTTATATATATATGTATATAGGGTGGTACGCTTATAAAATATGAGGACAAACTTCGTCTTCTTGAAATAGCTCAAGTTCCTAAGGATCATATTGATGATTTCAAATCTGTCAAAACATTTAAATATTTCAATACCAATAATCTTTGGATTAAACTCAGTGGTATGTATTTTTTGGTTTAATACTGATAATAAATGTTAGAGCTGTAATTAACGAGCGCTATTTCTTTAGCCATTGAGAGAGTACTTGAAAAAAACGTGCTGAATATGGAGATAATAGTAAACAACAAAACTTTCGCAAATGGTCTAAATATAATACAACTTGAAACAGCTGTGGGAGCAGCTATGAAAACATTTGAAGGAAGTATTGGTAAGTTTGAAAACGATACTGTAAACCACAAATTATCTTTCTATAATTTATTTAGAAACTACCATTTTTAAATATTGACCTCATTAGCAAACAATCCATGTTTAGTTAAAACTGTGTATTTAATATTATAGGTATTAATGTGCCACGCAGTAGATTCCTGCCAGTGAAAAAGACCTCTGATCTGATGCTTGTTATGAGCAATCTGTATATTTTACGTAACGGATCTCTCGTAATGAGTCCTCAAAGGATGTTTCCCACAACGCCTCTCATCAAGTTGGGGGACAATCATTTTTCAAAAGTCAGTATAAACTTAATTCCTATTTTACTCTTTATTAATTTATGAATTTTTAAATTTTATTATAATGATGGATCTTACTGTTAATTAATTTTTTTTTTTAACCTACAGGTAAAAGAATTTTTGACTAGATTCCCGACAATACCGGATCTCCTTGAATTGGATCACTTGACAGTGTCGGGTGATGTTACCTTTGGAAAAGGGGTGACGCTGAAAGGCACGGTTATTATAATTGCCAATCATGGAGAACGTATAGATCTACCTTCTGGAACAGTTTTAGAAAATAAGATTGTATCGGGTAATCTACGCATATTAGATCACTAAATTGCAACAGAAAACGTAATATCTTGTTATCTTGCAGAATTTATATATAAATATTTGAGAGAATAGTATTTCTGTATGTTTTCAGCCATCATGTATCTTAAATTAACTAGTCAAGCAATTTAATTGTATATATATATACCTATAATGTATTTTAGAAAAAAAATCGAAGATATATTTCTCTATTATAAAATTATTTTACTGAAAATATATTGTACATAAGAACTTAATGCAACTCTCTATAAAATATCAAGTAAATTATATATAGAATATATACTATGTTATGTAAGTGATTGAAGTTTATATGGTATATTATATTAAAATAAATGCATACTCTTTCAATTTTAATAATTTATTGGTGGAAAAGAGAGCCTCTTTAGGTTTAACATTTGATGTACTAAATAAATACGTCAGCACAAATAATTTAAAAAGTAAAAGCTATGTACAATAGCTTTTACTTTTTAAATCATCTATGATGACATTTACTAAAATTTAAAAAATTAAAATATGTAGATACATGTATTATATATA